CCAGTGGATGGAGATCAGGTACGCGTAGGCCATGTCCTCGGGCGGGGGGGGGGGGAAACAAGAAGCACCGACGACGAAACGTGGCTGTGGGTCGAAAATAGGGTAACAAAAAAAATGGGTTGCCCATGGTTGCCCTAACAAATGGAAACCTGAACTAAGACCCGCGTTTTGTTTTTTTGGCGGCCTAATTCTGACCCATACCCGCTTGGTGGATTGGATTGCGGCTTTGACGATCTCTCATTTGGTCTAAGCGCCGATCCAAACTTCCCAGGATCACACGGCTGCTTGCCGTGGGCGACCAATCCCAGGCAACCGGTCCCAAAGTGACCAAGAGAAAACAGAAACGACGTCTCAATAAAGCCCGGTTCGGTGTCCCTTCAGTCTCTCAAAACCATCAACGACCCCCCTTACCCCCCCCCCCCACACATAAGTCATAGAACGCAATAATGTTTTACCAGGGTTTGGCCAAACGTCAGTTCTTGTACATGTTCAAACAAGTGAGAAACATGCACTAAGAACACCTCCTCTCAACATCTAAATCGGTTCATTAGCGCTTGGGGCTCATGGCCTGTCAACCCATTTTGCCAACCTCCAGCTTTGAACCAGGCTTGGCAAGGGCGCCGTGTTCTGGACGCCCTTCTCCAGAAAGATGGCGCGGCCCTCCTCCGTGGAGGTCCGGATGAAGAGCAGCATGCAGGCCATGACCTTGGGTGAGGCGAGCGCGGGGGGCGGGCGGTTGGGGTTCAGGTTTCCCGGGCGCAAAACCCGCGCTTCGAAGGAAAATGAGGGTAAGTGCCGCCTGCAACATGGGACCCAATGCCTCCCGCTCGTCACTGTCCCATCCCATTGCCGCTTCAAAGACGTCACATGCACTTTCCAAACATCCAAGCCGCAGCAACCAAGACTACATGGAAAACTGCTAAGAGGCCGCTCAAGCATGGCGAGCTTCCTCACACTGAGGTCCAACTTGATTTCACGAGTCCCGGGGACAAACAGCGGGCATTGCCAAAGCAAAATGCCCGCTGAGAGAAAGCAGAAACAGCAGCCGCTAGAAAGTCAAGAGAAATCATGAGAAAGCTGGAGGGCTTTCGCGCGTGGCTGCAATCCATGGTCAAGAACCCCATAACCTCGCCATGGGAATTGTTTCCAGGTAAACCAAGAAAGGGAACCAAACATGGGCCTTCCCTATTGACACTCACCACTTCATGGCAGGTTGACCGTCCCCTTGTGGCCTCCCGTGATGAAACACTCGCAAGACCTCCCATGAACAGTGCGGACGCTCCGATTCCAGCTCAAACACGATCCATCCCCTATGGAACGAAGCAAATAGGAGAGTGCGTTGATCAAAGCACCCCTTGAGATCTGAGTTCCGCTTCAGATGAACACTCCTGCCAGGAGGAATTGAACCAAACGACCACGAAAATTCCATGTACCATCCCATGGTAGCGGCCGAAGCGCGTGCAAGCCAGCCAGGTATGCCAGGCAGGTCTTCAGGATCGAGATGTTCGCAGAGAGCACCTCCAAAAAGTGTCAGAGGAAGCTTTGTCTCCATCAAGATGGAATTTACCACGAGTTCCTTTCCCAACTGGGGGGGGGATCCTTGCGTGGTTTGCCCTGAGACACAACCTGATAAGAGTGACGATGTCTTTTCTGAGAGAAGACTTCCCTTTGAGCTTGCTTAACCCATATCGCGAGACATGTGAAGCCACCTCGAAAAGTCACATCCCCGGGGTTCATGCAGCTTTCCTGACGAGAGCGGCTGTTGGGCCGCCCCGTTGGGTGCCCGGCTGTCCTAGTGGTGCCCGACATGCAGCCACCGGTGCCACCGGTGCCGCGGATGTCGCAAATCCGGCCCCGGCCTTCGCGCGCTCGAAGAGGACCTCATTGAAGAGGGCGTGCAGCTTCTTGAAGCGAAGCAGCTTCATCAGCCTGGCGCGCGGATGAAGCACATGGCGCGTCAGCCCTTGGGCATGGAAAATGAAAGAGCTAGGCTTGCACAGGTTTCAGTCTTTGCTTCCATTTACCAAGGTCACGTTTTGGTACATTTGTTTGAGCCACAGCCGGCTTCTTTCCCCCCCCCCCCCCACCCAGCTCTTGGGGCCTTGAGTTGTTTTCATGGCGCACTCTATGGGGCGTGCACAAGGGTCCAAAGCCGAGGGTTCCCACACGCCAACCTTCCCCAGACTTCCTATGAGACTTCAAAAAAAAACGAAAAACGAGGGAGGCAGGGCGAAAACGAAGCGGAGCCTGATCAGCCGAAAGCTCCGGAAGATGGACACTGTGGAGCTGGCGATCTCATCCGTGATCACGGCCAGCCACTCCACCACCACCACGCTGGCATCCAGCAGCAGCCTAGCCAAAGCTGGGTCAAACCAACTCAAGTTGGATACCTTCATGGGTTTCCAAAAAAAGGAAACCAGCGGAAACCAATCATTTGGGCTGCAAAAACCCGTCCCCTTGAGGACCCCTTTCCGGTTGAAACCTGGAGCTGCACCATCCT